CGTAATTATCTTCAAAATTTAGACAAAATAGGTCAGGTAAGTTTCCTTTGTCCTTCAAAATTACCACTGTCAAGTTCATATATATATATATACTATTATATAAAGCACACAACTCAGAAGAAGCTTTATCACGACTTTGGTATACCAAAAATACTTCTATACATAGTAACTGCAATGATTCTCATTTCTTGCTGTTCAAATAACTGCCATAATTATTTCTAATTCTACACACGTAGTGTGTGCTAAAACCTCTAGTATGTATGCATATAACAACACCATGGAATTACGAAAATATACAGTCAAAGTAGAATAAAAACTAGGGGTACAAAGAAGTAAGTGTTGGTAGTTGTCATGTGATTACCAGATGAACTGGGGTCCAATTTGGGAGACAGCCTCTTCCCATCCAATTGCCCACATCTGTGGTCCCTCCACGGCAATTGCAAATGGAGTGAGAATCAAGAGAGACATGCATAGTAATTCATTCCCCCATAAGACATCCCTTCTTGGAAAATATGTTCCGGAATACAAACGCCAAGTTTGATATCATGGCTCCCATAAAACCTGAAATCGACAGCCAACAACCAAATTTATGCCTCAGAAAACAACCCCTAAAAGCACAAAGAAACAAAATTGTGTTCAACCCCAAGCACTTTTTTCCTAATTCGATGAATATCACAAAACCCTAGAACCCAAGTCGTAACTAAGCAAGAAACTTGTGACTTTTCTGAAGCAATCAAGAGAAGTAAATGAGGTCGGCTACAATATTTTACTTCAATAATTGTTTCAAAAAAAGAAAATGGAAAAAAGAAGTTCAAAGCCATTAATATCAGTTGGATTTAATCCCCCCCCTTGATTCCCATCAACTTGAGAAAAGACAACAAAAATCAAATTTTAAATTTTGTAGCAAGTATTACAGAAAATGAAACATAAAAAGAAACCAAAAACACAACCAAACAAAGTCACCTCAAATGAGTCCAATTGAATGAAAAAACAAAGCACGAGAATTACATTAAGCTCCAGTTGAAGGAAAATTCTGTATGCACGAGTCTTTAACAATGAAAACTCTGCGACTAGAGACCTAATTTTTTTAGCTTCCCTAGATTTGCCATCAACAGATTAAAACTTGGAAAAAACAAAATTGAGGAACAAAGTTGAAAATAAGAAAAAATAATGAATCAAATGATAAAGATTTTCCAACTTTTGGCAAAGAGGATTAGCCGATTACCAGTCATGTTGAAGTTGAGCTCAGTCACAGCAGCAAGACCGCAGCCGCCGATGATTGGAATAAGTGACAAGTAAACTGGCACTGGAAATGTCTCACCCATGAGGAACCTGGAGACCAACACACTGAAAGCAGGCTCACCACTCTTGATTATGTGAGTAAACGAGACTGCAATTTTTGACATACTCACTGTAGCAGCCACATGCCAAATTGTATGTGCCACAGCAACCTAACAAACACCCAAAAACAGCAAAAAAAAACTTCATAAAAATACAAATTACACCAAACTCGGATCATAAAAACACAAATTACACCAAAACGCAGTTTATCTTCCACACGCCCAATTGTATGTTCCCCAACAACCTAACAAACACCCAAAAACAACAACAACACTTCATAGAAATAAAAATTACACCAAACCCAGATCATAAAAACACTAGTTACACCAAAGCAAGATAACAAAAACACAAAGTAAACCAAAACTCAGGTCACAAAACCCTAGATATGATAAAACAAAAAAAAAAACTTACAGGGAAAAGGTTTTTCCAGAACTCGAGATCAGTCTTGGGTGCTTCAGCAATCCTAGTAGCCCAAGAAATCAGAATCATGAGAGACCCAGTTGCGAGCGAGAGAGTCGAGGTGAGCTACGGAAAAGGAAAAGCATTCAACACTTTTTTGTTGTAGATGTTGAAGATCACATTCAAAGCCCACCAAGTAGCGAAGTAGATACCGATCTTGACCCTCTTAGCCGCCTCAGATGGGCCCTCCGATTGCTTGATTGGCTGCGATCGATCAGCTTCATAAGCCTTGCATGTAATCACGGATGAACTTTTCAAAGACCCAAAACCTTCCATCGACGAAACAAACAAGGGTTTTGCGATCGAGAAATGCCGTGTCGGCGCCGCCGTCTTTCGCCGGAAAATTTCGGAACCAGTGATCGGCAATGTAGATTGCTTCAGAGACGAAATCATACTCATCTCAAGCAAAGATCAAGATGGGTTTTTCCAAAAATTTCCAAATGAACTAAGTAACAACAAAATGATTTGAACTTTAGAGATCTTTAGAATCAGAATCATAAATCATGAAGATTCAGTGAAGCAAAAGAACAAAGAATCCTAGTCCTCACCAGTTGGGAAACTGAGAAGAACAAAAAATGAACTGAGCTATCATGCCGTACTGATCTATGATGGGTTTAAAGCGAATCAAGCAATGGGTTTATTATTAAAAACAAAAAAAATGTTTTGGAGCTCTGATAATTTTAATAAGTTGTGAGTTTCACTGTGATAGTGATGTTTATGTTTATGTCTTGTGTTTGTGTTTTTTTTTTTTTTTTTTTTTTTTGATTTTTCATGATAGAGCTTAATAGAGTCCTTTAATTTAGAACGATCTATTATTGTTGTTATTATTAGACAAATGATTGAATTTTTTTTTGTTGTTGTTATTATTAGACAAATGATTGAATTTTTGTTGTTATTAGACAAATGGTTTGAATTTTTTGATTGGGAGGGGAAGGGAGGGTTAGACAAATGATTGAAGTTTTGTTCTAATATGGGGTTGTGCGCAATTTTTTATATTTTTTTATGGAGTGATGTTATTAGAATTTCATAAATTATTTTAGATTTTTAATTTTTTTTATAACAATAATAACTAGAAATAAAATTATTTTAAAAGACATTATTAATTTTGAAATACCTTATCTCACAATTAAACTTATATACCTACTACATTATGAATTAGGGTTTATGACAATACCTGCCTCTATCACCACTCATCTATTTTCTCCAAGTCCTACCTTCAAAACCTAGCAACCCTCAAACCTATAAAACCTTTTAGAGGCAATATTTCGGCAATAACAGTGATAACTGTTTGATTACCTATACTTCTTTGACAATGACGATGAATGGAAGTTTATCTGGCAACTATAATTTCATAAGACGAGAGGAGTACAATAATAAAAACTTAGAGGCGGTTCATAACTTTGATATTATTCTTAACTTAGAGGAGATTGGCCTTATAAATGTAAGTTTCTTAAAAAAAAAAAATGATAAAAATAATAAAATCTGTTTGTCATTTTTTTCGGGACTGAACTCCCGAACATATGACCGAAATTTGAAAACACAAGCCCGAGCATTGTTTATTTGTTCGGGAACTGATAACTAAACATTTATTATTTGTTCGAAAACAGATAACCGAACATTATTCATAAGTTCAAACCTGTTTTATTGAGAAACTAAACCAATTGTTATAATTTTTTCTGCAATAAAAGAAATTATTATGAAAAAATTAAGAAATTATGTATATATATAGAGAGAGAGCGCATACCAATTATAACAATGGTAAACGAGGCAGCAGAGACAGTAATCACATTAGCTCCTCTTCTTCTTCTTTGTGGGCTTTGTTAGGATTTTTTTGGAAGTGGGTTTTTTTTGGGGTGTGGGGGGTGCGCATTTAATGGGTAGAATGTTTTCATAAGGATAATTTTGATATTATTGGAAAAGAAAATAAATTTTAAGGGTTTCAAAATTTTATGTGAGAGGTGATATAGTTTAAAAAGTTGATTTTTGGCTTCTTCTTTTTTCTTTTCTTTTTTTTAAAAATAATAATTTTTTTTTGTGAAAAGTGAGGTGACTATTAAAAGTTGGTTTTGGGCCCTTTTTTTATTTTATTTTTAGCTCGTTCCAAATGGCCCAAAAGTTGGCTTCGAAGGGTTTAGTTCCTGTGATGTAAATTAGCATATTCGTAAATTACGGTTTGGGCCAGAAATGGTGACGGGGGCCCATTTCTCATTTCTGTTTTACACTTTGTTTGGATTGTGAGGTGAGTTAAGAAAAGAAATAATTATAATTTTTTAAGGAAAAAAAAAAGAATATAAATAATTATGATTTATCATCATTATATTTGGATAAATAAAAGAAAAAAGGATGTAATTTTTTTCTTATCTTATTTGAATAGAATAAATAAGAGAAAAGAAAGAAAATGTTACATTTCATTTTATCAAAATAACTTTTCATATTAGTAAGTTATGTTTTTTCACAAGAGTAATTTTAATATTTTAAAAAAAAAATCATTAAATCCAATTTCTTTTTCACCAAATCTAACCATTTTTTGTGAGAAATAAAATATAGATTTTGTGAGAATTATTTTCTTACTATTTCTCACATACTTAACCATCTAAATAAATAAAAATATTTTATATTCTTACTATTTTTTTTCTTCTCTCACTAAATCCATGTCCCTCCATGCAACGGAGTGTTAATATTTAATAATTCATTTCTCATGGAGACAGTAATAGGTGGACAATCATATTTAAGAATTAGTAATTATTCAATCATTTGATGCTTTTACTTAATTACATATTGAAAAAATTTATTAAAAATTGATAAAATTTAAAAAGACAAAATAAGAGATCCGGAAATAAAAATTAAAAATATTTAAATAATATTCTAATGTTATTATATTTAAAAAATTAAATTATATATATAAAGATATTTAGATATGGGATTGGATTATTTTTGGTTGGATATTCCAATTGGATAGACTAGTTTGACCTTAACTTATTTCGACAATTCGAACTGTTCATCTTGTAAAACCCACCAAGTAGATTATTCATACCAAAACTTCTATTGATCAGATATTAAAAATCACTTGATCGGATCACATTTATGAAATCTTGTGCCAAATGTTATAATTTGATAATAACAATGATCAACCATTACCTGCCACTGTCAAATTTGACAAGAGATAATCCAAAGCAGCACTCCAACAAGAGAACAGAACATAGAATGTGCATCTTACAGTGTAAGCACTACCCGTTTTTTCAACCATGTATTTATGTCAATAAATATAGCAAAACAGATTTAGGGTTCAGGAACATAACTCTATAAATACAAACCAAAATAGAAATGAAATCAGCTGCTTGAATCCAACAGAGTTCTTAGGGAAGAACACTCTTGAGTTCCAGCAACCAGTACATGTACCCAGCCTATCTGTATAAGTATACAATATAAGTCGATATGTCAACCTACTATTATAGACAACTTTACAAAGTTAATTATCTCAACCGGGCTCTTCAAGCTGTTCCAAAAAGCAGCAATAATGAAAGCCGCAAAATTAACCAATGCCACCAGATGATGATATCTAATGGAAAACTGCTTTGAGAGCTGAAGCTTTGGCCAAAAAGAGCATCAACTCCTTGATATTGAGCTTCATCGTTGCGTAGAAAACCCGCATCATCATCACAGCTACATAAAACTGTATTACCAAATAAAACTGCTACTATTATGGAGGACTGCACCCACTGCAAAAACAAAACAAAAATGCGGAGCCTGAAAAACCGACAAAAAAGGAGGAAGAACTCCCCAGTTTGTACTATTGGGTCCTTGCAAATGCAAAGATTAAAGAGGGAAGGGAAGGAAAGGGGTGGGAGGAAGCCAGATAAAGCACAAGCAACTAAAATCAGCAGTTTGGGTCAGATGCTTTACGAATGGCAAGCGATGATTGTCACTAGTAATGGCCTACTTACAATGAGAAGGAACTATGGTGCCCTTAACACTGAAGACCAAAAAAGCCTATCCCAAACGAGGCTTTTTAGCCCCAGGCTAAAAAAGCCAGAAAGGCAAAAAGCCAACCCACATCCCAAACGAACCTTTAGTTTGTCCAATAGTGGTTCAGGATATAGTTGGTTGAATCAGGACTACATTTCTACAGGAGCCAATTGCTTTGCTATCAGCTCTGCACCAAGCCAAAAATTTAACAAGGAAATAGTGCTTAAGATTTCACATTTTCTCCTTTTTCAACAATCAATGGAGTGGTCAAAGACTGATTAAACTTAGTACATTTCTTGTTTCTGACTCATTTCAAATTGAGCCTTTTCAACACTATTAAGCAAAAAACATGGTGTTTGTTTGTCTTCAGATTCAAACCTTCAAGCAAAAAGCAGGACTTCAATAATAGCAGGACATCGCATTTCTCACATCTCAAGTATTGTTATTTGACAAGAAAGATGAATATGACATGCCCATTTGTAACTTTTCATTGTCCCCAATCTAGTTTGTCATATTAACAATTAGTCCCCTAGTTTCAGTTTGCTAGCAGTTCAGACAAGATGCTTTGCACTTCAGTTTGGAAGCATCCAGATGGTTCCTTTTCAGGTTATTTACAAATTCCTAATGTATTATTCAAGATCTTAAGAGAAAATTACCAAAGCTAGCAGGATACTTTCAATGCACATGGACTGTTCACAAAACACGAGTTCTACGGTTGAGAGAGAGAGAGAGAGCATAAGATACTTGCACACACACACGTACAAATAAAATGAGGAAAGGAATAAAGAAGAAATTAACATGAATTTATTACAATTGTAATCTTTGTCTAGGTTCTATCAAAAGTGAATTATGGATCTACAGGAGCTTTTTTATCTCCAAATTGGAGACATCATAACAATCACATCTTCATTATAATTAGTAAGGGAGGAATCTACATCATGCAACAAGACTCAAACCCAGGCATCACACCCGGTAAGGGAGCAGTGAGCACCTCATTGCATTTTGCAATGGAACTAATAACTTGGGCACTGCACACTTGGCTATTTGACGTTATTGCTAACATTCTCTGGCTCTTCAAGTCTATTCTAGTTGGATGCCACATAATCTATTTTAAAAATATTACTCCCTCCATCCCATTATGTTTGTCCATTTTAGGATTTCCAATCTTCTAAGGATTCAATAAATGCATTGGAATTCATATTCAAAGGCATTATTTGCAGGATAATTCTGACTCTTACACCTAGCTTATTGCTTTTGAAATCTTTGACTAGATTCCATCAAAAGTTAATGATGGAACTAAGAGGACGTTTTCAATTAGAATTATATTCCAAAGGTACCAACTTGGTCACATCAGTATAATCGTGTTTGGCAACAGGGATGGTTGTATTCTATAATTCCAGCCATCCTACGTAATGTTCATAACGATGATCCATACTTCCATTCCTTTTCACTTAAAGCTTTACGCACTACATTACCAAAGGAAAACCAGCTGAAAGAATCTACTACTAAAAGCGTGACAAAGAAAAGCATGGCCACCGCACAGAGAAAAGCACGCACCATGTCCTGCGAAGTACAAGAAAACAGAGAGAAAATCAAATAAAAGAAAGATGGGGAGTATAGTAGAAGATACTTACTGGCTCCTTTCACGAGAACATAATTACACAACTTGTGGATACTCTAGGTAGCATTTGCAGCTGATCGATGACCTCTTTTTGCTCCTTTGCATCTCCAAATAGACTCTTGGAACAAAAAATATTCAGCCTCTCCAAAACGAATGTGTTTTTCAGCAAAAAATTTAGGAAACACACTTCGGTACAATTCCAGTGAAAATTATGAAGGCTCACTGACTTGAGGCAGGCCAAAAAACATTTAGGTACCGGTTTCAAAATCCAATCATCCTCACCAAAGCACACACGAGGGTTAAATCCCTAAATGTTGTAGAAATTCATTAGATAAGTATATGATCCAGAAAATTATAACTGAACTCTAAATGCTAAGGGATCTACCTCAGCAAAAACAAGAGACTCCAGATTTGGTGAGTATTGTAGCAAGTTCATCAATTTTTTGACAATGTGCTTTTCAATTTCCACACTCAACTCTAAATATGTCAACTTCTGAAATATGGGAAGATGATCCAGCACATTATCTGCAAGAAAAAGAGACTTTGCAAAAGAAAATAGGGGAAAATCACAACTCAGCTCAGCAGAGTAAGAAAATATGCATAAGAGAAATGTAAGCAACAATAGCAACTTTATATTTTGGATAAATTACATTGACCACCCCGGAGGTTTAGAAAAAAGATAACAAAACCCTACAAGTTTGGCATAATTACACTGACATCTCTTTTAGTATGGCTAAAGCGACCAAAACTAACTGCAAATAGTGTGACACATAAACAAACAAGGTAAAATATACATTTCAGTGTTATAGAGATGACAATATCATTTTTCCATCCATACAACTGATAAATTATTGATGAAAAGGGGACCAAATGTTTATGTGAATTAAAATCTTATGGGAGGTCACTGGAATTATACCAAACTTGTGGGGCTCAATGTATTTTGTCCAAATCTCAGGGAGGTTAGTATAATTTACCCTTGTATCTTCTAAGCTAGATTGACATTCAACAAAATTTCTACGGCAGCAGTAGATACCTCGATGGCACCAGTAGATATTCTCATAGATTTAACACTATTCAACCCTCTTAGCAGGTTAACTGCACGATAAGCAATTTCTTTTTGCCTCTCACACATAATTGGAACGTAAATCGATGCATTGACCAATGAAGATAGATTAAAGAGGAAAATCTCATTTAATAGATAACCACTGTACGTCAAAAATATCAGATTTGCTGCATCAATCTTGATCTGACAGCCATTTAGTTCATCTGCTGATCCAAAGTACGGTAGGTCATCTATTGTCAAGCTCTTCAGCGTGGGAATAGAAACAGAAATGCGCTTCAGATTCATCCAATCACAGTCTAATATAGTCAATTCCTGAAGGACAGGGCAGCTAGATAATAGTCTTTGTGTCGAGTCATCATCCAAGAAAGTAACAAGAGCAAGATACAAGGTTTTAAGTCGTGGAAATGAAACACATGTAGGAAGTTCAAGGACACAATTCATTTCTATTTTAACAGCTGTAAGTGATTCACAATAAAAAACACAACAGGGCAATATAAAAGGCTCTTCCACAAAGAGGCAAAGGTCAAGCTCTTGAACTTTTTGCTTGATTGCAGCAGAAACCCATGCATGAATACGAGATGCATTGAAGCAAACTCGACATGAGAGGCGGAACTTTTTCATACTTGATCCATCATGAAAAAGAAGCACCCTTTCGACAAAATTCATGAAACAAGTCATCTCAGGTGGATACAAATCATTCACCTCACTTGAATACAACAATGAATCATCAAAATCCAAAATTGGAACAGAGCTCCACAGATACTTCCATCTTGTCGACAATAAGCAGGTTGCAACAACATCTTTTGTAGGAAGAAATGAGAGGATATGATGAAGAATACAGTCAGGTAAATTGCTGATTTGATCTTCATCCACACTGATATCCTGCACCTCATACATCTTCCGGTGTTTAAAATTATCCATCAAGATGTGCATTTTATGCCTAAGGGGAAGAAAAAAAGAAAAAAAAGAAAAAAAAAAGGACCACCAAAAGAACAGAAATTAAGTTAATAGGTATTACAAACTTATTAAGCACAAACCTAAAGCGATAACAAATTGCAATATAGAAGTCAGATGAAAGAACAGATAAGTAAGACCATAATAACAAACAAAATTACAATTCTCAAACATTCACTGACATTGAAAATAGCATATTGGTGGAAAGTCGTATGGTTCAGCCAAAAATGTCCCTAGATGAGCCTTCTCGCAATGGCTGTGTTTTAGGCGAAGATTGGCTATCAAGAGAGGTTGAGAGAGTGGCGTATGATTAGTGAAGTTGGTCATCTTTTTTGCAATCAGGCTGATGAGTTTCATAGGATGATTCGCAAATCGAATTGTGTGATTCAATACAATTCAATAGGTAATAGATGCAAATAGGTTGCATGAATGACAAATTGTGGATGAATCATAGAACCCAATAGTTGAATCGCAAATCAATCGATTCACAGAACCCAATAGGCAATTTTTGTTGCTGCAAAGGATTCGGAAAACCCTTTTTAGGTCTGTAGGGTTATTATATTCAATCGATTGCAAAAACTCAAACGCTATAAAATCATACTTTCTCTTTCTACAATATTCTTGGCCTACTGCTTACATATTTGACTTTATCCAAGTATTTTCACTCAAAAAAATAATCTTTAGAAGACGTCAAATGATATTTTCAAAGAAGTTTGGAGATTTGAGCACCAAATCGGTGAGCTTTTCTATAACATTATTTTTAAAAAGTTTGTTATTGAGTTATTGTTGCTTAGATTAGAAGTTGAGAGTTTGGGTTTGTTTGCTTTTATTAAGAATGATTGATAAGAAAAGTAGGAAAAAAAAATGTAAGGGGGATGATCCTACATGAAACCAATGTATTCTTTTATGAAAAATCTTGAATTCTTGTTTCCTTCAATTTCATCAGGTATTATGTGGATTGTCATAAATCATAGCATAATTGACCATATGATCATCATTCAAAAGAAACTCTTCATTGATTCAAGTACTTTTTGATAAATATAATGTAACTTTAATATTTAAATGCAATGCATAGATATATTCTTCTATGTAAGCTAGCAATTTTGATAGACTCTTGCCGACTCACGATTCAGAAAAAGCAACATTCAAAATTTAAAAAAAGACAATTTCGATTCACGATTTGACAACTATGCTCATAAGCACTTCCATACTTTTTTAGTCCAACTATTCTGCCTATATTTGGAAGAAAATTTTGGTCAGAAACCAGGTTAGTAGAAGGCCTCTCTAGTCTCTACTTGGAAGCTGGATGAATATTTTGCCTCGTTTTTTTTTTTCCTCCTTGTAGGAGGCGTTTAGGTGGTGTCCTTTGGTTTTGGAACAAAGCTTTGTTTGATTTGAATGAATTTTAATTTACCAATAAATAAACACAAAAGAAAATTAAATCCCCCCTTCCAAAAAAAAAATTAATTAATTTTGAGAGAAACAACATCAGAGCATCACCAGCTGAATTTAGATCTAAAAATAAATTAAAAAAAACACTCAAAAAACTCTCCAATGTTCTAGTCAAACTTGTATCAAACTGAGTTTAATTTTTTATTTGTTTTTTAATATCCAAAACAAAAGAGACTCAAAAGTTTACTCAAATATATGAAACCCATTTTGTAGCTTTCAAATTTATAAATCTTCCATTACTCAATCTGTTTGAGTCATATTTCTGCTTTAAACCTGAGTTAGTCCCATCTCAGTGGAGTGCTTCATATCATATCATATCAAATGAAGCTTTTACTACGAACTTTTAAATCAAACCAACATGAAATTTAACACAAATCAACAAATAAAACAACCTTAGACAAACAATAAATCATACTGAACATCAAAATGGCCTCAAACACCGCAAAACTCAGCCAAAAAAAGAGGGGGCAATAGAAACAAACAGGTTTATGCGAGAGAGAGAGAGGACGAACCAGTGATGAGATAGTAGAGAGAGATTGAGACAGTTTTAGGGTGCCTGAGTGAAGAGAAGTTGGGGGTCCATGTGATAGAGAGAGAGAGAGAGAGAGATAGAGCAATAGAGTCGCGCAGCGAAATGGGTATGTATATCAAGGTCGGTTCACAAGGTAATGGCGGTGGAGAGAGAGAGAGCGAGAGAAATTCGTGTACTGTTCGAACCGCAGAGGAAGAGGGAACGCCGAACGGAGAGACAATCAGGACATTTATTTGTTTTTTTATTATCTGGATATTAGTTTACCCTCTCTTCCTCTTCTGTCTCTGGGGGCCGGGGGCAATTTCGTCTTTTTATGGGTGCACGACTAATGATGAGTGATGAGATATACTTGCTAGATTTGCACTAACCACATCTGTTTAATTTAAAAACATGGTTAAAAGTTATTTTTTTATTTTTTTTATGAGGAGAGAAAATGGGTTAATCTAAAATAGGCCGATATAAATTTGGCCCAATCCGATCCTAATTAATAGCTCCAACTCTGGAATTACATTAATTATGAACAATCATAGATTTGGTTTGTCAAAATCTGTTTCCATCTTATAGGAAGATGATATAATGTGCATTCTGAAAAAGATATATATGATGTGTGAAAATTCATATTTAATTATTTTTAAAAAAAATAAATTAATTAATTAATTTTATATAGAGTCTATCTAAAATATATATTAGTATAAAAGTTAGTTTTAAATTTACTTAATTCAATCCCTAACAAGAACAATATTAAGAATAATAATTTTATGAGTATTCAATATTTAATGTTTATAAATTATTTTAATTAAAACTCAACATTATTATTATTCTTACGAAATACCTTAGTTAAAAATCTTAGTGTATCAATTTTATGCAACTCACACAAATACACACAAAATAAAAATAAAAAAATATAGCAGATTTCGGTGGCAACTTTGCCACGTGTTGAATTGCATGTTATTATAGGGAATGAGAGCCCATTATACTCTTGGAATTGAGAAAAAATGAACTCATAGAATGAAGAGAGAATGATGAGAAAGAGAGGGAGAGAGAGAGAGAAAGGGCTCAGCTTGATTATCTATATATACATAGGTATGTCTACTCCTCCGGATCAGAGAGGAGAATAGAGGCAAAAAAAAAAAAGAGGAAGAAATTTTTGTGAGCAACAAAGCAGTAGGAGAAGAAGAAGAGTGAGAGATTAAGGTTGCATATTTTCCTACCATTTCACTATTCCATTTCAATACTACAACTAGGTAAGAAAACCCTTTCAACCCTCTCATTTTTTTTTAATTGTTGAAATTTTCAGATGATAAAATGACTAATTTGTACTTAGAAATTTTTATATATATGTATGTAAATTTTGTGATGTGTATATCAAATATTTGAAAATATTGATACTCTTAAAGTCATGGTATTATTGTGAAAATAGTCTTGCATGTGTAGTTTATACCATTAAAGAGATGATTGAAGAATTTATTTGGTCATTGAATCTGCCAGAACATTTGTACGAATTTTTAGACAATTTTATTCTCAAACTTTGAAGATTATTTCTTCTACAAAGTTGTTTATAATGATGTCTACTTCATCCATGAATTTTTGTAATAATTATGGAGTTTTGTACGAATTTATACATATTTTTAACCAAATCTGGAGCTATAGGCAGATTTTACTATGTGTTTGAAAAATCATTAAAACTTTTATATTAAACCAAATCTAGTAATTTCTATACAAAAAATAAAATTTGAGAAGTCTAGTTTCGTAACAAACTTTTAGATTATGGAATTAATTTATAAATTTAAGTATGGAATTAATTTAAGAAAATGTGAAAAATTTGTGTCATAAATTTTCTTGGAATTTTTCAGAATTATTTATAATTTATTTTTGGAAAATACTTTCTGAAAAATGACCATTACATGTTTATTGAGTATTCTGTAGATTTATATGAATTTTAGAGTTGTATAAGTAATTTATTTATAATTTTAATTACCAGTTATGCATTCTGAAAATTCTGGCAGATTAAGGAGGAATCAAAAAATTATCTCTTCAATTGTTTATTTGGACTAAAAAAAAAAATTAATATTGTGCTAGTCTAATCTTGTAAATTAAAAATCCATACATGTGTGTAACTATGATTTATTGGTATCTAAATTATTATTTCATATCATGGTTTAAATAAATTGTTTATTTAAATTTTGTACAATTATTTATTATTGTGTGACATATGTAATATTTTATGTTGAAAATTTGAATGAATTGGTATAACATTGTTAGTAATTAAATGTTGAATTATTGTGAATATCTCAACAAGCAAAGAAACACGAAATTTAACCAATGATACATTAAAATTTAAAAGTGATGGGGTGAGTCCGGTTTAGAATCTTGTGCAAGTGAGTTGCGAACCCCAACATGGCACGGGAAGGTATTTCGGCTCTTATCGATGTAGGCGATATAAGGTTGGTGGTGCGGGTGTCACAACATAGACCGTTCCCTTGGGGCAGATCGTGATGTCACGACTCGGATATGTAAGCCTGGTGCGTGGGCATCATTGGTAGTTACAGTAAGTAACATTTAAACATTTGACCAAGAGGGAGTCAGAATTACCCATGGCCATTGCTTAGCGGTTGAGTGGAAACAGTACTCCGCGGGGAGTTACTTAAATTTATTGGATAAACTAAATCTATGAAAAAAATGGGCATATTCCTTATGATGAAATACTGCTTCCGTTTGTTATTTTTTTTTAGTTGATTTATTATTATCTATTGCTATTACCTCTACTGCTAACATTCCTTTTATGCTTACTAAATGTTACTTGTTATTCTGTTATTGCACATTATTCATAAATTGTGAGTATTATTATCGGGGTGGATATTTTCGGGTTGTAGTATCTTATTGAGCTCGTCGCTCACTAGCATTCCCGTTGCCCTGACGTTTTATGCCAGGTACTGAAAAAACCAAAAAAAACACTGAGGCCTTGCTAGGCGACACTCAGCCTTGGTTAGCTTGAAGAGTGCCAAAGATCCATGAACAATTTTTCTAAGTTTCTAGTTTTTTTTTTTTTTATATTCATGTTGTTTTTATATGCTAAGACTAAATTTTAAGTTTTTATTGGAGCTGTAATTTAAGAACTTTTAATTTCTGGGTTATTAATTAGTGCTAGTAATATTGGTGACAAAATTGATGAGGAGTTAGTTATTAACAAAATTGATTTCAAGTTGTAAATCTTATTATGATGTCCTCAAATCTTGGGGCGTCACAATAAGTGTCGCCTTGCAAGGCCTCGGTGTTTCCTTCGGTTTCTTTGGTACCTGGCATAAAACGCCATAGTAACGGGAATGCTACTGAGCGACGAGCTCAATAAGATATTACAACCCAAAAATACCCACCCCGATAATAATACTCACAATTTATGAATAATGTGTAGTAACAGAATAACAAATAACATTTAGTAAATATAAAAGGAATGTTATCAATTGAAATAATAACAATAGATAATAATAAATCAAACAGTATTTCATCATAAGGAATATGCCCACATTTCTTTTTAAATTTTCATAAATTTAGTTTATCAGATAAATTTAAGTAACTCCCCGCGGAGCACTATTTCCACTCAACCGCTAAGCAATGGCCATGGGTAATTCTGACTCCCTCTTGGTCAAATGTTTAAATGTTACTTACTGTAACTACCAATGATACCCACGCACCAGGGTTACATACCTGAGTCGTGACATCATGGTTAGTCCCAAGGGAACGGTCTATGTTGTGACACCCGCACCACCAACCTTATATCGCCTACACCGATAAGAGCCAAAATACCTTCCCATGCCATGTTAAGGTTTGCAACTCACTTGCGTAAGATTCTAAACCGGGCTCACCCCATCACTTTTAAATTTTAATGTATCATTGGTTAAATTCCGTGTTTCTTTGCTTATTGAGATATTCACAATAATTCAACATTTAATTACTAATAACGTTATACCAACTCATTAAAATTTGCAACATAAAATATTACATATGTTACACAATAATAAATAATTGTACAAAATTTAAATAAACAATTTATTTAAACCATGATATGAAATAATAATTTAGATACCAATAAATCATAGTTACACACATGTATGGATTTTTAATCTACAAAATTAGAATAGCAAAATATTAATTTTTTTTTTTTTAGTCCAAATAAACAATTGAAGAGATAATTTTTTGATTCCTCCTTAACCTGCCAGAATTTTCAAAATGCATAACTCGTAAAATAAATTACTTATACAACTCTAAAATTCATATAAATCTATAGAATACTCAATAAACATGTTATGGTCATTTTTTAGAAAGCGTTTTCCAAAAATAAATTATAAATAATTCTGAAAAATTTCAAGAAAGTTTATGACACAGATTTATCACATTTGCTTAAATTAATTCCATACTTAAATTTATAAATCAATTCCATAATCTAAAAATTTATTACGAAACTAGACTTCTCAAATTTCATTTTTTGTTTATAAATTACCAGATTTGGTTTAATATAAATTTTTTAATGATTTTTCAAACACATATTAAAATCTACCTATAGCTCCAGATTTGGTTAAAAATCTGTATAAATTCGTAAAAAACTCCATAATTGTTAAAACAATTCATGGATGAAGTAGACATCATTCTAAACAACTTTGTAGAAGAAATAATCTTCAAATTCTGAGTATAAAATTGTCTAAAAATTCGTATAAATTTTCTGACAGATTCAAGGACCAAATAAATTCTTCAATCATCTCTTTAATGGTATAAACTACATATGCAAGCCTATTTTCACAATAATACCATGACTTTAAGACTATCAATATTCTCAAATATTTGATATACACATCAGAAAATTTACATACATATATATAAAAATTTCTATCTACAAATTATTCGTTTTATCATCTGAAAATTTCAACAATTAAAAAAAATAAGAGGGTTGAGAGGGTTTTCTTACCTAGTTGTAGGATTGAGATGGAATAGTGAAATGGTAGGAAAATATGCAACCTTAATCTCCCACTCTTCTTCTTCTCCTACTGCTTTGTTACTCACAAAATTTTCTTTATCTCTTTTTTTTTTTTTTTTTTTTTTTCTCTTGGTAAGAAAATATGTAACCTTAATCTCCCACGCTTCTTCTTCTCCTACTGCTTTGTTGCTCACAAAATTTTTTTTTTTCCCTCTATTCTCCTCACTCATCTGGAGGAGTAGACATACCTATGTATATATAGATA